TAAACACACCTAGTTCTATGACCAAAAGACTAGAGGAGAACTTAGAGTTTAGCACACACGAGTTCAAGAGTAAACTTCCTAAACAACAACCTAACCGGCTTTACCCAACATTACATAAAGGAGAAGAAAAGAAAAGGAAAAAGAAGGAAAAAAAAATCTATACATACATTCAGTCAAGTGCCATTGGTTAGTTATCAAAGCTGAAACAAAGGAAGCCAAAAATTAAAAAAAAAAAAAAAAGATTTAAGACTGTTTGTTTCAAATGGTTTTTCTTGCAAAAGAGACATGAAGAAAAAAAAAAGAAAACCAAAGGAAAAAAAAAAAAGGTCTAAAAAGAGACTAGATGACTGCGGCTGATCTTAAAATACTGAGGGAAGATTACCTTTGTACGGCTTTTTTCTTATAGCTAAGGGTGAAGATGTTAGGAGTTCTGATGGACAATGTGGCTAAAACGAACTCCTTGCTTCTTGCGTCATACAATCTTCCATTCCTTGTGCCTACATCTGTCATAGAGCATCATGGTAGGGCATTGTCTCTATCCTTTTGGGCTTGACTTTGGATGAAGAATGTGAAGGGGAAAGAGGGTAGAGTGATGGTGGGTTTCAATGAGTACGGAACCACCTTGAAGCTGTTTTTTATTATTTTTTTTTTTTGTGCTTTCTCTTGTTTTCACTAAAAAAGATTAGAGAATAAGAAAGAGTTAGGATGGAGATTAGGGAGAGTGGTGTATTTTCTGTTGAAAAAGGAGGGGAGAATCAATGGAGTGAAGAGCCTTTGGTTGAAGATGTATTAGTGTCGAATCTTGGGAGAGAGAGCTTTAGAGAGGGGCCATAGCTCTTTTTAAGTGAAGTGGACTTCTAATTTTGGTCAAGAAAAAGCCATTCAGTTGGGAGCTAGTTACAATGGATTCAAAGGAGGGGGAGCACCTAGAGACCCTTTGGGTTATTTAGGAGCCCCCCCATATTGATCTCACACGAATGGATCTTCTTTCTTTTCTTTTCCAAAAAATCTCTCAATTTCTTAAAGAACAAGAAACATACTTTCTTTGTACACGGCTTTGCTTGGAAGGAAAAGCAAAAAAAGCTCTTTAAAAATGGTAAAGACGCCTAGATCTTGCCAAAAAATAAACAAGCAATCTATGGTTGGGATTACACAAAGCTAGAAACAAGGAGATCCAATGGTTGGGGTTTCAACACATGGAAATGATTCCCTTGCAAATATTTTGAAACAAGATTACAAGTAGGGACTAGGCTGTAATTGTCAAAAGCCAAGAAAGGACATGGACGTCCTTGATTGAATTTATGAGTTTTTAGAGAGATCCAATGGTTAGGTGGGTGACAAGTGTGAAGGGGGTTCTTGCAAAAAAGAAAACAAAAGGGATTTAGTGGGGAGGGGCTAGAAAAGTAATTTTGGAAACTTGAGAGGAGTGGAAACGAATGGACGTTTCAGATTTAACCCGACAGATGAGATCGCGGAAACGTCCTCGATGGAAGGGTGAAATGAGCATTTTATGGATTATGTTTTCCAAACCGTCGATGAAAAAGGTGACAACGTGTTTGACCAAGTTTGGCGGTGACGGTCGGTGGCGTTTTTCTTAGATGGAGCGCAAAATGGTCATTTCAAGGTTCCAAGTCGGACTGATCATCAATCGGGAGGCTGATAAAGGTTTGGGTATTGTTTGATGGTGTTTTGTAGTGCCGATCTTGAATTTGGAAAGTATCGAGTGGGTGGTTGATTTGGAGTCTTTCTAGAAGGGAAAAATCGTCTTTTTAAGGTCCAAAATTGGACGGATCATCGATTGGGGTTGATAATGATCTAGATGAGGTTTGATGGTGGAGAATGGTGTTTCATAGTGTAGATCTTGAGTTTGGCGGGTATCAAGCGATGTGAGTAATTCATTCGGAATCTTTTTGGATGAAGGGTAAAATCGTCATTTTGAGGTTCAAAATTGGACGGATTGTCAATCAGGGGTTAATAAGGGTTTGGATGAGGTTTGGTGGTGTTTCATAGTGTAAATCTTAATTTTGGAGGATATTGTATAGTTGATTCGGAGTCTTTCTAGATGAAAGGTAAAATCGTCATTTTAAGGTCCAAAATTGGACGGATCGTCGATTAGGGGGTTGACATAGGTTTAGATGAGGCTTGATGGTGGGTAATGGTGTTTTATAGTATAGATCTTGAGTTTGGCGGGTATCGGGCGATGTGAGTGGTTCATTCAGAATCTTTTTGGATGAAGGGTAAAATTGTCATTTTGAGGTTCAAAATTGGACGGATCGTCAATCGGGGGTTAATGAGGGTTTGGATGAGGTTTAATGGTGTTTCATAGTGCAAATCTTGATTTTGGAGGATATCGTGTGGTTGATTCGAAATCTTTCTAGATAAAGGGTAAAATCGTCATTTTAAGGTCCAAAATTGGATGGATCGTCAATAAGGGGGTTGACAAAGGTTTAGATGAGGTTTGATGGTGGGGAATGGTGTTTCATAGTGTAGATCTTGAGTTTGGCGGGTATCGGGCAATGTTAGTGGTTCATTCAGAATCTTTTTGGATGAAGGGTAAAATTGTCATTTTGAGGTTCAAAATTGGACGGATCGTCGATCGGGGAGTTAATAAGGGTTTGGATGAGGTTTGGTGGTGTTTCATAGTGTAAATCTTGATTTCGGAGGATATTATATGGTTGATTTAGAGTCTTTCTAGATGAAGGGTAAAATCGTCATTTTAAGGTCTAAAATTGGACGGATCGTCGATCAAGGGGTTGACAAAGGTTTAGATAAGGTTTGATGGTGGGGAATGGTGTTTCATAGTGTAGATCTTGAGTTTGGCGGGTATCAGGCAATGTGAGTAGTTCATTTGGAATCTTTTTGGATGAACAACAAAATCAAAGAATTTATGGCTGAAATTTGGTGTGATTGGTTGTTTGAAGATTTGGTTTCATGTGAAGTGGTCTGATCGGGTAATAGGTATGGTGATGTGACATAATCAGGACCATCAAAAGAGAATCTTATGGATTTAACAATGGATTTGAGGGTATTTGAGTTAAAATTTGGTTTACTGGGGGTTTTGGCATGTTTTGAGGAAGTTGGTGAGGTCTGATCAGGCATTTAAAGTGTGAAAAATGAGTTAAAGAGGGGGGACCAAGCAAAAATTGGGTGCTAACAAAAATCATTCTTCAAACTCTCCCCAAATTGTTAATGTTTGTAACATCTCCCCCTCCCTTATTAAATCCCTTTTCCTCTTAAATGATCCCTTTTGGTTCTCTTAATAAATAGGGGTATACATTGGATGATTTTGGGTTAGGTTAAGAGCCAACCCAACCTTAATTATGGAACCTTGCTTGGATCCAACCTTAAGGGTCCTCTCACCACAAAGCTCACATAGATGTTCTCATCTCATTTTTCATACACGTGGTTATCTATTTTTAAATTAAATAGTAAAAAAATATAAGTCATGACAAAACCCTTTTATGTCTTAATTTTCTCTAATAAAAAAATTGTCACAACAAAACCTTAAGGGTCCTCCTCTCATTTCTAACAAGATTATTTTGTGGCACAAAAAAAAAAAAAAAAATCTTAAAACTCCCTTTCCTCATCCCCAATAATGAATCTTTGTTACATTTTCCCTCCCCATTAAATCTATTCTTTCCACTTGAAATATAAATTGGACCAACTAGGTCGAATTAATAACCAACCCAAAGCTAACCCTAGACATAACTGTGACCAAGACCCAAAATGACATCAAAACCCACAATTCTATTCAACTCTATGCATTTGCATGGATTTACTTGCTAGTATAAATAATGCTAAAAGTGAATTGACTTCAATCGATAATAACGTTAGTAAAGGAAGTAGAGAACTTTGGATTGGATTAGGGGGGATAGTTGGGGTTTCACAGTGGGTTGGTTTAGGGTTGACCTCAACCCGACCTAAGCCAGCCCGTGGTACACATAAAACTTACGGTAGAGATGGCTATGCTCATATGCGCATCTGCGGCAACCCCCGATATTGCATGGCTGAGTCCAGATCTGCACCCCACAAGGGGGTGCCCCACAACATCCCACAGCACATCCTACTGTGCATTGGGAAATCTCCCGATGATGACATCATCGACTCTGGTATTATCACTGGGAGATGTATACAGTGGGAATATATTGTGGGACATTGTGGGGCGTCTCCTTGTAGGGTGCAGATCTGAATTCCGCATGACCCGGCAACCTCCACTAACAACAACTTCCGTGAAATTTAAGGGAGATGTCTAACTTAACGGGCGGATTTGTGAAACAATTCAGCGCGCCCTTTTGAGTTCCGCCATACACAGACTATTCTTCTCCTTCTCCTGAACCCCCTTCTTAGAACACTCCAGTGATAACAATTCAGGCGGGAACTCTCTTCTCCGGTGATGATCAACTCTCCTCACCTTGAGTTTATTTTCAAGATTCATATTTTACTGCCCGTTTGTATAGCTGCTACAAGGTATTTATCATCTGAATCTTAAATATTTTGAAATTATAAAAATATATTCTTATGTGAATTTATTTATATAATAAGTTTAATGTGTTATATTTACGATTCGGATTTGAATTTGAATATATGCTACCCACAATCAAATTGGATGCGGGTTTTACTGCATCCGATCCGATTACATCCCTAGATGAAAGGGGAGGGAAGACTTTCAGTTCGATTTGGATTTGGCGGAACTGAAAAGGGTGTGCTGATGAATTGTTTCACAAATACGCCTGTTAAGTTTAGGTATCTCCGGGAAAATTCCTAATAGGTATCAAGTACTTTAGGCTGAGTGTTAATTTAGTATCCGAATTTTAAAACACGATAATTTAGGATTTAAACTTTCAAAATACACAATTTAGTATCTATTGTTATGGAACCGTCAGTTATGTATATTACATGACTTCATATATGATTTAAGACTTTTAAAAATGTCAAAATTACTCTTAAAATAAAACATAATTTTCTTGAAACAAGCCCAAACTCTCAACAGTCCGGACCATATGCTAAACTGCGGATATTGTTGTGAGCGCTGCATCCCTTTTATTATCATCGGTAATGTCTCCAATTGTCTTTTCGATGATTTTGGGTTTGAAGGTTGTGTTATTCTGAACCGGATTGACTTCCTAGAGAGGATCAAACCCGACGTCTACAGAGTGGGAAGTGGTTACCGGTTCAATCGGCTAGGCGTGCAGTGCACTAATGAAGGATTTTCTGGTCTTGAATTTGCTTCTGGTATTCCTGGGACCGTAGGTGAAGCTGCTTACATGAACGCTGGAGCCAATGGACAGGTAATCCTGCTCCGACTTGCTTGGAATTGTTTGTCAAGAGACCACACCAGTGAGGGTCTATGATCTTTTATATGTTATATAGGAGACTGTCGATGCCATTGATATAGTTGAGATCGTTACAGTGGATGGGAGGCATCAAATTTTGTATAGAAGTGATCTTGCCTTTGGGTACCGCGTGTCACCCTTTCAAGCGATGCAAGATTTGGCAGCTATTGTGGATGTAACATTTCGTCTGTTGCCTTCAGCATCAGCAAAGGAGCGTCAACAAGCATACTTGAGAAAGTAACAAGGATTTCAAATTATGCTTCTTGAATTCTTCATTGTTCTCCTTAGAGATGCCAATGGGATATAGTTTTATTTACAGGAAGCGATGGTCTCAGCCTATGCGGGAACAAGCTACTGGATCGGTGTTCAGAAATCCTCCTGGCATGGGAGTTTCAGCAGGGGAGCTTATTCAGAAGGCTGGACTGAAAAGCTTCAGAGTTGGCAGTGCAGAGGTTTCCAAAGTTCATGCCAACTTCATCATTACCGCAGCTCAAATTCCCGAGAGATGCTTGAACTCATTGGCTTGGTTAAAGCAAGAGTTAAAAAGGAATTTGGAATATAACTCAGAAAGCTTACCAACTCAGCTTTAGGTGCTAGAACTATGAGGGTATAAAATAACAAAACGACAATTGTTCTGGATGTAGGGTGATCTGGCCTGACCTCGTAGCACAAGGACACGTGGACATGACGTGGTATAAGTGACAACTCAGCACGATAGCTTGGCCACAACTCGGCGTAACAAGCTCGCCGAGGCCCGACCAAGCAACTCGGCGGGTGCGACAACTCGCCGAGGAGCAAGGCCCAACTCGCCCCAAGCCTGAGGGTGGAGCGCCCCGAGCTCCCTCCGTGCAAAGGGACCCGAGCTCCCCTTGAGACCCGAGCTCCTCCTAAGGGGCTCTGAGCTCTCCCTCCCTAAGAAGGGAGCACCCCAGCTTTTGGCTAAGTGTCTCGAGGGGAAAACACCTCAAGACAACACCGTCGAGACTCTTGTTCGTACTTGCTTAAGGCTCGCCTCCAGTGTGAGCACCTCGGTGTACCTCGACACCTCGACACCGAGGCAACCCAGCCCTGGGCAGTTCGGTGCAAAGTAGCTCGGATGCTTGTAGGGAAGATCCGCCTGACATCCATACCTGCCGGATCTGGTGGCAGCGCCCACATTTCTTGCCAGGTAGTGTTGTGCCTGCCGTATCTGAAAAGCATGGCATGCCTGACAAGTCCGTACCCTGCAGCAGCAGCCTGCACCTGCCACCTCAGCCCTGGAAGTAACGGCTAGGGCAGTGGCGGTTACACCTGATGTGACTAAGCTCCGGTATAAGAGGACCCCGACCCTCATGAAGCAAAGGTATTGAAGTTAACACTTTCAACACTCATAACTCTCTGTATTTTCCTTGAGTTTTCCTCAGAGTTCTAACTTAGCCATCGGAGTGTTCCCGCCAGGAGAGCTCCCCGGGAACCCTTCACATTCCTCTTCATCTCAAGTGTCGTCTGTCACAGCTAGGAGCCAAGTTTCAGCCAGCTAGGAGTGCCCAGATCGTGCTGCATCATTTGGCACCGTCTGTGGGAATGCTTCAAAAGGCCTTCCTCTAAGTTCTGTGCAACTCTCTCCAAAGAACTCATCAGCATCACCGACACCTATGGCTCCCTCCAGCAATGCCAGACGTTGGAACACCCCTGAGGAACAACCCCAGTTACCCACCGTATGCATCGGAAAGTTCACCATTCCCATCTCTGTGGACGGGGTTCCTAGTCTGAATGTGCCTCAAACGGTGGCACCCGTGACTGTTCCACTACCCTCTACAGTCGGAACAACCTTCGCTAAACCCACCATCCTCCCTCCGGTGGCCAGCCAAGGTCAGCTTAAGGATCTGATGCAGTGCATGTGAGCCATGCAAGCTCAGATGCAACAGTTCCAGCAACTCCAATTCCACTAGCAGCAAGTGCTGCACCAGGTTTCCCAATACCAGTATCAACAACAGTTTCCTTCACTCCCTCCTCGACATCCAGCTGCGCAGCCAACCAAGCCTCACCGCCGAAGTGAACTTCTTTCCCGCCGAGGAGAGACCTCGGTATCATCCCATGGAAGGAAGGAAAGACCCCCTACCCCCGCCTCACGGCCTATAGTTAGGTCGGGGGCCTCTCAGCTGGTTAGGCCAGTATCACCTCAGCGTTCGTAGTTCGAACCTCCACTTGCCGAAAACCGGTTTGAAGTGCTGGCCAACGACCTAGAACAAGGTCCCTCTGTTCGCAGCTACCGACAGCCGTCCGAGCCTTTCCTTGGGCCCATCGAGCTCAGCAATACCGAGGCCAGTAGCACCAACACCGAGCCGGCTAAGAAGCAACGAAGGCGTCGCTGAGCTCACCGAGCTGTCACCCATGACCTACCCGAGCTCAGAGGCAAGGTAAAGGTAATTTCGGGCGAGGTAAAAGCTACACCTCTTCTTTCAGTTCCCTCCCCCCTGTCACCAGAGCTCCATGTTGTCTCCATGCCAAGGGACTTCAAGCTCCCCCCCTGGACAAGTACGATGGGTCCTTCGATCCCAATTACCACGTGGACGCCTTTTAGTCCTAGATGCATCTGGCCAGAGTGAGCGAGTCTTGCATGTGCGTGGCCTTCTCCACCACTTTCACGGTCATAGTACCGAAAATTGTAAAAACCTCCGCGACGAGATAGAAGAACTCATCCGTCGCGAATATCTGAGAAATTTTGTACAGAACAATAATAATAATAAAGCAAGTCAGCAGGGGGAGCAGAATAAAGAGGCTCCTGAGTCCAGCAGACAAGCAGAACAGCTGCAGAGGCAGCCTCCCGACGAGAGACTAGTCCGGGGGACCATCCATGTAATTGTTGTTGGATCAATAGTCGTGGGCTGCACTTCGGCTGCAACTCGGTCATCAGCCCGCAAGGCCGCCAAGAAAGAGCTTAACCCCCCGAAGCGGCCAAGGGTGGAGGAACCGATCTTCTTCACAGAAGATGATGCACGAGGGGTCTATTATCCCCATGATGACGCGTTGGTCATAAAGATAAAGATCAATGACTTCGAGGTCAGGCGTGTCCTAGTCGACTCGGGTAGTTCGACAGACATTCTCTTCAAGGCAGCCTTCGATCAGCTACAGCTCTAGGAAAGCGACCTGAAGCCCGCAAACACTTCACTCGTGGGGTTCAGCGGTGTGGAGGTTAGGCTTTTAGGGAGAGTCGTTGTACCTGTGGAGGTCGGCACCTGGCCTAGTGTGGTAAGGCTCAGCCATGAGTTCCTAGTGGTCGCGACCCCCTCCCCATACAACGCAATAGTAGGTCGGCCTATCACCCACGCCTTACGAGCAGTAGTCTCCACCTACCACCTGGCGATGAAGTTCCCCACAGACTTCAGAGTCAGAGTGACGCGAGGCGATCAGCTTGAGTCCCGCAAGTGCTACGTAGCTGCCCTCAAAGGAAAGGCCAAAGTAGCAGACGACCTCGAGCTAGAATGACCTGCGGAGCAATTCGCGGAGCGAGCCGCACCTATCGAAGAGACCACCCCCATCCCGGCTTCGGCAAAGGACCCAGCTCGGCTAATTCAAATCGGTGCTTCTGTTGAGGAACCCCTGCGGTCTCAACTAGTAAGTTTCTTACTCAAATATTTAGATGTTTTTGCGTGGTCAACGGCAGAAATGCTTGGCATAGACCCCATCATTATAACTTTTAGGCTCAACACTGATCCTGTAGTTAGGCCCATTAGACAGAAGAAACACAACTTAGCCCTAGAGCAATGGATGGCAGTCGACGAGGAGTCGGGAAGCTTCTTGCAGCCGATTTTTTCAGGGAAGCTCATTACCCGAGCTGGGTGGCCAACCCCATTCTGGTGAAGAAGGCTAATGGTAAATGGCGCATGTGCATCGACTACACCGACCTGAATCGAGCTTGCCCAAAGGACTGATTCCCACTTCCTAGGATCGACCGTCTAGTGGACACGACCTCGGGGCACAAGTTGCTGAGCTTCCTGGATGCCTACTCAGGTTACAATAAGATCAAGATGGGCCCAACTGACGAAGAGAAAACTGCCTTCATAACCAAGTTTGGCCTGTACTGTTACAAGGTCATGCCCTTCGGGATGAAAAACGCTGGGGCCACTTTTCAAAGACTTGTAAATAAATTGTTTGAGCCACTAATTGGCAAAAAAGTAGTGTTATGTAGACGACATGGTCGTTAAAACCCAATTTTCACATGATTTAATACAAGATTTACGCTCAGTTTTTGAAATCTTGCGTAGATTTAATATGAAACTAAATCCGAACAAGTGTGTCTTCGGTGTCACCTGGGGTAAGTTCCTAGGGTACATCGTTAACCAGCGAGGCATTGAGGCCAACCCGGACAAAATCAAAGCCGTCCTAGAAATGAAACCACCTCAGAAATTGAAGGAGGTTTAGAAGTTGAACGGCCAGTTAGCCGCTCTGAGCCGCTTCATGTCCAAGTCAGCAGATCGCTGCATGCCCTTCTTTAAGACCATAAAAAGCAAAGGCTTTGAATGGACCGAAGAGTGCCAACTGGCATTCGACGAGCTCAAAAAACACCTCGCCAGCATCCCAGTCTTAACCCGACCTGAAGAGGGTGATGTGTTAGAGCTATACCTCTCGGCAAGTGACGAGGTGGTCAGCTCGGTACTAACAAGAGAAGTAGATCAGGTCCAACGACCCGTTTATTATGTTAGTAAAGTATTGCAGGGAGCAGAGACAAGGTACCTAGAGATAGAAAAGTTAGCCTATGCACTAGTCATAGAAGCCCGAAAACTCTGCCCATACTTCCAAGCTCACACCATCGTCGTCCTTACCAACAAACCTCTGGGGCAAGTCTTGCTCAAGCCTGAGGTCTCGGGAATGTTGACAAAGTGAGTCATCGAGCTCAGCGAGTACGAACTCTAGTACAAGCCGCGAACTGCTATCAAGGCCCAAGCTTTAGCGGATTTCATCGCAGAATGCACCTTCAGCTCCAAAGTCCCCAAGTTGGTGGAACGCGAGGCCCCTAGTGCAGGCGAGCCTAGGGTTCCCAGGTCGGTTGAGCTCGAGCGTCGTGAAGTTGCAACCAGCGCAACATCTCTCCTAGTTAGGCCAAGCGCAAACTGGGATGAGGAGCCTTGGATCCTTCACGTGGATGGCTCGTCAAACTAGCAGGGCAGCGGGGCTGAGATTGTTATGTACGAACCCAGCGGTGCGAAACTGGAGTACGCACTGTGCTTTGAGTTCGCGACACCCAACAACGAAGCAGAGTACGAGGTGCTACTAGTCGGGCTGGATCTGGCAAAAGAAGTAAAAGCCAAGCACATTGTCGTCTATAGTGATTCCTAGCTTGTGGTTAACCAAGTTACGGGTGAGTATGAAGCTCGCGAACCAACCATGATAGCTTACTTAGGCAAAGCAAGAGAGGCCTTGCTCAACTTCCAGTCACACTTCATTCAGCAAATCCCAACGACAGAGAACGTTGTAGCCGACGCCCTATCCCGGTTAGCCAGCACTAGCGATAACACCATGAGAACTGCGTACATAGAGAACTTGCCTCGGCCTAGCATTCTCAGGGGGGCAGAGGAGGTCGCTCCCATCGTTCAAGCAGAGCCGAGCT